AGCTGTACGATGTTAATGGACTGTTGGGGCTGCATTTTTTTTTGTACCTGGGATTGCACTCTGGACCTTGCCCTAGGCAGGCGTTGGAACCACTGAGCGAAATCCCTGGCCTGTTATGGCTGCTTTGCTGCAGGGTTATTTCCAGCCTGCTGGAAGGAAATCAATGTAAAGAGGCTCTCAACACATTAGAGATGGCTTTTGAGCCCAGAGGTTATTATGGGGCCAGTACCCACAATTCTGTAAATTAAACAAGCAAACAAAAAAAACTACAATAAGAATTGCAGCACAGTGTTTGAGTTGAGGAGCCACAGTCTGCAGTTCGCCTCCCTATACTCTGAGCATTGCCTGACATCCTTAGTCCAGGACAGGCCTGTACGGGTGTGCGGAACCCAGCATCCGTATCTGCTGGCGGGGTACTCCTCAGCTGTCATCTCACAACTCAGACCTCCCTGAGACTGTGGTTGTGAGTGGTTATAAGCAGCACACCTTGCTCTTCCTAGCCCTGTTCATTAATACAGGCCCAGAGCCTTGATAGCGGAGCTGCGATTGAGAACAGCTTCAAATTTCCTGGCCTGCCCTTACAGGTGAGTGAATAGTGGAGGCTTGTTTTTTCTCCTTGGAAAAGGGGTCGATGCTTCTGCTCTCCCTGGGCCATGAGACCTGCGCGGAGACTGACGTGGGCTGCCTGAATCAGCACTAGCTGAGGAAACCAAAAGTGGCCAGTCCTCAGCCTGCTGTTTTCCTCAGTGCTAAGCCCCCTGAAAGAGCACATTCTTCTTACCCCCCAGAACCCAAAAGCTTGTTCACCATGCACAACTCAGGCCCTGCCTCAGATCTGTGAATGGAGACTCTGGATCTCTGAGTCCTCTTTGTGACTGTGATGCTCCCTAAAGCTTGGGAACACTTCTTATGTGCCCTGCTGTGTGGACATTGGCTGGGAGAACTTGAAACTCACTCCATTCTGTGTGGTCTGTGTGGCTCTGTGAGGACCTGTGCTCAGTCTTGGCCCTGGTGTGAGGTTATTCTGTGTGTGTGAGAGTGAAAGTCCTCTTTTCTCCATGCAGGGAGAGAGAAAGGTTACCTTTAATTAAAATGATAGTGAACTTGTAATTATTCAGAGGTAATTACAGAGCTTGTGAATCATGTAGGACATTGGCTGCTCCCTCAAAATCCCCTCCTTTAAATTTTTTCCACCCACCTCCTCAGTGCTAGCACCTTGGTTTGAAAACAGTGATTGCATTATAGACTGAACAAAAAGGTTCACTCATGGCGTGAATTGTTTGTGTTTTTCATTTGAATTTTCCTTGATTGCAAAATGGAACCGAGAAAAAGAAAATATTCCTGAAAAATTGTGCCTGGGAACTTTTGATAAACCATTCCCTGAGCCAGTGGGTGAACCTGTGGCACACTCTTTGTACCATTGAAAGCTTTAAAAGGTTTGCCGGCACTACCCAAGGCCATTGCAGACTTGCAGCAGGTGAAGAGAGAGGCGGAACACAAGTCTCCTCACGGCAGTTCGCCAAAGCCTGTTGGCTCCAAGGAGGCAGCAGGGCCAGGCCTCGCTGGCTTCCTGTATACACTCCCGGCCTTGGTTGAGCACTGCCTGGAAGTCCCCAGACACAGAGGGGTGAGAGCAAGTTCTCAAAGTCGGGGCCTCATTAACCCACCCTAACAGACAGTGACCTTCATCACTTACCTTGCCACTTAAAAGATTTTCAGTTGAAGAATGATGATGAGTTAAAGAAAAATCATTCAGAGTTACTCTGAACATTAGGAATTCTGTCTCCTGACAGAATATTGGTGTGGGGTTCTTTTAATATTTCTAAACAAATCAAGTTAATTGCTGATTAACCAGAATCCTTAATGGAATAGGATTTCTTATGTGGGGGGACCCCTTGATTTTAAAATCACATAGTAGTAAGCCACTGTTAGAACTTTTTCCTGTGGGTTTTTGTTTGCTTGTTCTTTTGAGACAGGATCTTGCTGTATAGCCCAGACTGGCCTTGAACTCAAAATCTCCCTGCCTCTGCCTCACCATTAGGAATCTGATAACCAGGTGGCTTAATTGCCTCCCCCTCTCTGTTATTTCCATAACAGTTGTCATTATATCAGAATAGAAATCCACATATATGGTAGAGCCTGACTGGTACTGAGATGAGGCTGAGCTGTCTATTCAGAGATATTTCAGTAATTTACAACCACTGTGTCTTTGTGTAAGGAAATTGAGTTTGGCATTGATGTCAGAATTAAGCAAGGACCCTACGAAGACTGCTGAGTTACTACTTACCCATACCCCCAGGGTTAAGTCCTGCATTAGATAGAACTTGGCTGTTCGGTTTCCTTTTCAAAGACAAAGGCAGGGATTGTTCAGAAGTGGCCAGAATTCTGCTTTAGAACTCAGAGCCAGAGAAGGTGGGCACTGGGAGTGAGGGAATCTGTAGGGTCCACCGCTGTAACTCACACCATTAGGGATGAGAAAGAGCTCTCTTTGCTCAGTAGCCAAGTCGATGCAGTCCCCCGGTGTGCCCCTGCCTCTCCCAGCCAGTATGTCCAACTCCAGCCAGGAGTACATGCATTGGAGTTCAACTCACAGGGGATAAGTTGCATGCTGCACTCCTCTCTGCCTAAGATTGGCCCAAAGTGGCTTAAAAAAAAAAAATCTTAAAGGGAAAAAATCATTTCCTGATCAGCTATCTTATGTGGCTTCTATGATCGCATGCTTATAATGGTTTATGTCCTTTTGAATCAACAAAAGGAATAAGCAAAATCACTAAATAAAAGAATTCCTGAAATGCTTGCTCATGGGCTTATGAGAGGAATCTTAACTTTTGCCTTTAGAAAATTGTACTTTCTATGCTGTACAGGAAGGAAACTACTGGCAACTTGGTTTCTTTGAATGCGGTATCCATATAACACACTGACAGGAAGAGTAAGACATTTTCAATAGACAGTTTGCTGTGGTGGCATCTTTTTTTCTAATTTTACATTTATTCGTACATTTTAGATGCACATAATTATAACATTTGTCATAAAGAATTTGTACTAGTACATGCCATGTCTTGCTACTTTTTTCCCCCATTGCCTCCCTCCCTTATGTACAAAAGCTTTGTTTCCATTTTTTTCTTCAGTTTCCTTTTTTCCCCTTGTCCTTTCTTTCCTTTCTCCCTCCCCCTCCTTTGTTCCCTTTCCCATTTGAACATTTTCTTCCCGTTTCCCAATGTCTGTTGTACCTTTTAGTTCTTATTTCCACTTTTGGTTTCTGACCCCAGAGAAATAGCTCAGTATTTAAACGTAGGTTCGATCTTTGAAGAATGAACAAGGCAGTTTCTTCTTCCTTTGTCTTCTTTCCTCCTTCCATCCTTTTGTCCTTTCTTTCTCACTCAAATGTTTTACTGGCTGCACACTCTGTAATAGATTCTCCAGAAATGAAGATAAAATTTGACTCTGCCTTTAAGCAGCACACTGACTATCAAATTGGAGGCTTTGGGATAAAGAAGAAGGGAAGAAGTTGCAAAAAATGTATTTCATTCATAGAATGCATAAAATTTTATTCATTCATAGAATTTCATTAATAGAGCAAGGAGCTCCCCTGACCTTGCTTGTACTTGGGCAGGAATGGGTGCCAAGTTCTTGTAGCATGTGTGAGGCAGTCCTGTAGGGGTAGAGCAGGACCATGTGGAGCAGATCTGTGCTAGGTGGAGGGGTTTCCATACCAAAGCAAGGTCTTTGAATGTATTCTGCTCTAGGTTGCAGCTGTAAACACTTGTACACTTAGATGTGGATGATGAAGCAAGATCCAGATCAGGGTTTTGACCAGGCTTCTTTTCATGGGAATTCTGGAGGAGAAGGACTCAGACATGCGGAAAGCCAGGAGATCCCCAGGTTCCTGTCAGAGAAATAAGAGCCAGGAGCCAGGTGGGGGCTGGCAGGCCTCTGACATCAGGGCTGGGATTGGTGACGAAGTCAGCATTCACAGCAAGGGAGTGTTTTCCTGTTTGTTCACGTACCTCTGGGAGGAGGATTCAGCGGAGCCTCTAGAAGCAGGTCTATGAAGACAGAATTTTTATAATCCTTCTTTTCTTATCTATTCTGTATCCCACATGAGGGTCTGCAGGGAGCAGCTTGTGGCTTATAGGAGAGCTGAAATTGATCTTTTTCAGGAAGCATCTCTGGAGTCCATCCCTGTTCCTCAGAGAATGTACTTTAATGCCTTTGCTGTCATAGCTAATAATTTAGGAGACATTTTTATACAGTTTAAGTAGGGCAGTCAGATCGTAAGACATTCTCCGTAGGTAGAGCTGACCTCTATAATTGGGTCTTCTCGTCCTTGACATTTGAAATGAGAACTAAAAATCATCTTTTTGGATATAAATGCCAAGACACTCCCAGTAGAGTAGGCTGGGAATAAAGTAAGTACTGTTTTGGGTACCTGGTAATCTTTTAATTATGAAATAAGCCTTTTGATATTAATCTTCCAAAATGTATGATACAGATCCAGGAAAACAGCCCTTCTAAAGTTTACATCCTGCTGTCTCCTTCAGATGAAATGCTTCTACTTCTACCCTGTATTTTGCAGTCTGAAAGTACAAAATCCTTCTTGTCTCAGTCCCAGAGTCCCACAGTCCCTGTAAAAGATAATTCATCTTGGATTTGGTCCTGACCTGATCCAGGATGGTGCTGGAGCCCAGAGTGAAGACCTGGGTTTCTGGAGCCAGAGCCTGAGTCTGGAAGGTCACAGCCTGGTGGCTGAAGCCCTGGTTTGGGAGTGGTTAGGGGATTTGTGTGTTTAGTGGTGTATGTATGTATTTGCCTTGCACGTGCCAGGCAATCTTTCTGCCAGTGATCCATGTGCCCATTGGGCTTAAAGGACTGTATGTGACATCCCTACCATTGCTTCTTCCGGAGCTATCTTCACCTCCCACCGCACACGCACACATGCTCAGCAAAACTTGCGCACTGATAAATGGTGTTGTTTTGTTCTTTTGCGGCATCTGAAACAGCTTGTACAATGAAGACAGAAACCTGCTTCGAGTTAGAGAGAAGGAGCGACGCAACCAGGAAGCTCACCAAGAGCAAGAGGAGTTTCCTGAAGAGATGCCTCTTTTTGGAGAGCCCTACAAGGTGCGCGTGCTGTGTACTCCGTGACCCAACTCTGATCTCTCATAGCACCGAACTCTGATCAAATGATTCAGTGTAACAAGTTCAAATGAGGGTCACAACTGAAAATAACTCGTCCTCAAGAGTGCTTTTGAAAACATCTGAAAATTCTCTGAATATTGTTAGAGTTACTGAAGTCTGTGGTTTTCTTATGTAAAGTTAGTCTGTAATTAGTAACGTGTGTCTGTGATAGGCTTCTCAACAAGGAAATGAGTTAAAACTTTACTGTTAGATTCTGTAAGTTCCATATGAAATTGAGCTTCTATCCTTTTTTTGGCGTGGGGGTACCAGGGATCGAACTTAGGCCCTTGTGCTTGTGAGGCAGGCACTGGAACAACTGAGCTAAATCCCTGGCCCGTGCTTTTCTATCCTTAATGGCATTACGTAACAGTTGTTAAATGATTCTTCCTCCTTAGACATTTTTATCCAGTACCTGACTCCATTGCCTTTTCTGTGTCCCAGACAGCAAAAGGTGATGAGCTATCCAGCCGATTACAGAGCATGCTGGGGAACTATGAAGAGATGAAGGAGTTCCTGAGCATCACTTCCTACCCTCAGTGCCCGGATGCTTCGGAGAACCGCCTGGGGAAGCCAAGATGCCCTTTGTTTCCCGAGCGGGGGAGCAGCATTCCATCCAGCCCCTTTCACGCCAGTGTCCACCACCAGCCCTTGCACACCTCTGCCCCTAGGCCCCTTTCCATGGGTAGCAGCAGCCACAATCCAAAGATGATGCAGCTGAGAACGGACCCAGTGCCAGGCCCTCATGCCAAGGGCTACGGCCCGCTGGACAGCCAGCACCTGACTCAGGACCACCTTGGGCAGGAAGGGTCCAGCTCTGGTCAGCACAAAAGGGGGGACCACAGAGGCAATAGAGACCTGAGTGCCCCTGGGACAGGTGCCACTCCAGCTGGAGAGCTTTCTCCTTTCATCTCCTCTTTGCCCTCCCCGGTGCCACCCCTGTCACCCATACATTCCACCCACCTAGCACCCCCCAGGGCACAAGGAGGTGGCAAGGCTCAGGGCAGCGGCAGCAATAGTAAAGGCTGCTGCCCAGCCAGGTCTCCCAAGGACCCAGCCTCAAAGACTTGTGAGAAAGAGGTCCCTCTGGACAGCATGGCGGTGGTAGCCAGCCTTGGGGTTGCCCCCCAGCCTCCTCCTCAGACATTTCCACCTCCCCCACTGCCCTCCAAAAGCGTGGTCCTGCAGCAGAAGCCTACAGCCTACGTGCGGCCCATGGATGGGCAGGATCAGGCCCCCAATGAGTCTCCGAAGCTGAAACTGCAGAACTTGGAGAGGGTAGGCCCAAAGGTGCCTGCTGAGGCCCGGCTCACCAAGCTGAAGATGCCAGCCCTGCCTGTGGAGGTGAGTGGAGCCTCTCACCTGGCCAGCTCTGCAGCAAGGACAAATGGAGACACGGGTGGGGTGGGACGGAAGGCGAGTCTGGCTGTGGAGTGGGGAATTCCTTTGCATTTAGGAGCTTTTTTAAATTGGTGCTTTGGTTTTGGTTGTTTAGAGACAAGGTTTCTCTGTGCAGTTCAGGCTGGACCTGAACTCACTGTACCTGTGGGCCTCAAACTCTTGTGATCCTCCTGCCTCAACCTTCCAAGTGCTGGGATTACAAGTTCACGCTGCCATGCCTGCTTTGGGAACTTGTTAGCTCATAAAAAACTCATGTCCGAGGTGTATTACTGATGTTAGATGTTGAAATGCAGTTTGTGCAAAGGTTTAAACAGTTTTTATCAGTCCGTATCAATCAGTAAAACAGAGATCTGGAGCGTACAGTTGGTGTATGCACCTTTTTGCCCACTACCAAATCAAGATAGAGAACATTTCCTAGCCTTACAGGAAGGTTTGGCTTTTTGTTTGTTTGAGGGAAACACAGGCTTCTTCATGAAAGTGAAGAAAAGCATTTTTGGCTAATACTTCCTTACCCTCCATGAGTCCTAAGCCATAAAAAAGTAAAATTAAGATGTCAAAATGTTGAAGAGAAAGCCTTTATTTTTTTTTTAAGAGTCATTCCCCAAGAAGTGTAAAGAATTTTGAAATTAAAGCTCTGTTCTAATATTTTTTATTTATCCCCCAAAAAAGAAGAGTGGGTGTGTAATGACATCTTGAGAGTGAGTCACAAGTATAATACAGAATGTTATTCAACTGTGAAGTTTGAAAGTAACAAAAGATTGTATTTTTTAAACCAAGAAAAGAATTTCTTTTGTTCTTAAGTGGCAGTGTTGTGTTTGAAAGAAGAGAAGCAGAACTCATCCTCCAGTGAAATTTTAAGGTAGTACTAGTTACTCTAAAATTGAGATTAATAGTGCAAAATGAAATAATTCAATTAATTTTTGGTCATTTGAGACAGACTCTCACTGTGTAGTGCAGACTGGTCTTGAACTCATTATGTAGCGCAGGCTGGTCTCAGACTCACAGGAATCTTCCTGCCTCAGCTTCCTGAGCGCTGAAAGTAGGATGAATGCTACCATGCTGCCTGAAGTGAGCTTTAAGTGAGTCTGTTAATGGTAAAGTCTGTGGTTTAGTTAGCTCTATTGTATAAACACTCTGTTCTGCATATCCATTACTCAAAGACATTTGTACCACCTGAGTTTTGGGTTTACTTAACACCAGAAGGTAAGTTCTTAAAAAAAAATGTCAGAACCTTTGCTGGAAAAAGAACACTGATGTTCAAGGGAAGAACTTACCCCTCCAGTGTCAGCTTTGTTTCATCCTCCGCTCTTGAGCTGTGAGACTTCCTGGATGGCCTCAGAGTGTGACTTTGGCTTGAGGGAAAAGTAAAGCGAATGGTGGAGCTGACCAGCTGACCAAGGCGGCAGAGCTGTACCCCCCTGCAGCTTGGGGAGGGCCGTACAGTGAGCCTTTCCCAGACACCATGTGCTGTGCCGCAGGAGCAGAGTAGAGCAGATCCTGCCTCCTCAGACAGTGAGGAGCTTCGTGGGTTTTCTTGCTGCGTTGATCCAATAGGATCTATTGTGTCTTCCCAGTTAAAGAAACACAGAAGGGCACGATTTAACGTTTCCTTTTTCAGAACACTTGATAACTGAAAAGTTGCTTTAAAACAAAGGACCAGATTAGTGAGAGTGCTGTCCTGGGTGGGGTTGGGGGAGGAGCTGGGTGGATCTTTGCTCAGGTATGAAAGCCCTGGTTGTTTCCTGTGTGTTACAGACACAGGCCCAGGTTAGATGGTCACTCCTGTTTTCTGAGGAGAGGAGTCGAAGTGGGTGGGGTCCTCCGGGGTTGGTTCCTGAGACCCGGCTTCTTAAGAAGAGGCCGGCTCGTCCCTGCTGTCCCCTGGCCCACGCTAGGGCCCCATCACCCGGGGTGCTGTGGGTGACAGAAGGGTGAGCCGCAGGGCCAAGGCAGACGGAAGGCAGGCTCAGGTGACCTGCCAAGGGACGCCGAGGGAGCGCGAGTACATCAGGAGCCAGGACACTGCCTCCTCCGTGAGGCTGGTTTTAGGTTTATTTTTTCTGGCGAGATTTTGGATTTGGTTTAGCTTTTTAACACAGATCTCATGTTTCACAGATGCAGCATTAGTTTTCTGTTGACACACAACCCAATGAGTTCGTTACTGAGATTTTTAAAAAATATAGATTGAACTTCAAATATCAAAAGTTCCGTTTTCTGGTGGGCCCAACGAAAGCATAGAGATGGGACTGAGAAAAGCAGGAAATGAAACCCAGAGCAGTAAACAGGGTGTAGGACAGTGGCACATCGGCTCATCCTGGGCTAAAATACGGCTGGGCCAGAGGGACGGGCAGGGGAGGAAGGCAGGCGACAGCAGGCGGAGAGGCAGAGGAGGCGCCGTGTGTGCTCTGCTGCTGGCTTCCTTGGGCCCTCGCTCAGCCTAGTTGCTTTCCTAGCTCTCTGAGGGTGACTTGATTTTGCTGTGTGTCCCATTGTCCCCACGGCTTCCTTGAAAATAAACCCAAATACGAAAGTCACCTTTTATTTTTGGAGTTCCTTCATCTTCAAGCTACACAGATGTGAATTCTTTACCTGATTCCCGTGCTTTCACCTCCAAGGAAGTGCTTGGTTTGATATTTTAATTGGTACCTTAAGACAGTATATTCTTTTCTGGGATAAGTCATTCTCACAGTGAAAATTTAGTCCTTCCCAAGAGTCTACAGGAAAAAATTACCAAAAGGTCAGTATTCTGACTCACTAGAGGCCTGGACCACAGAAGTCTGACTTTGTTTTCTCTGAGAGTGTCTGTCTGGGTCAGTGGGGTGACATAGAATAGCACGCAGTGTGACCTTGCTGAGGGCAGCGGGACTCACCTCTCCAGCTGTGGAACCTGCTCTACACCCCACTTTCTCTTGGGGGTGACAGTGAGTGTGGACCCTATGGCTCAGCAGCGTGGGGAGGACATGTGTGTTTGGACACAGGACACAGGTGGGATACCAAACTACGCTGACAAGAATGCTCTCAGTTTAGAGATACCGCCTTTTTATTGTGTGTATAAGGTCTAAGAGAAGTCATTGAATTTTGCTAAAAGATATTGCTAGTATTGTAGCCAGAGCTAGGAACACCCCTCCTTGGTCTTCTACCTTGATACCTTTTCGGTGGCACTGAATCCAGAGGTGGTGGTGGTATGTACATTTGTCATTGTTTTTGGCTTTTGCAGTACTTGGTCAAAGCTGGAGCCTTGGTGCCAGCTAAGTACCATACCACTGAACAACATGCCCGGCTCCCATGTGTATATTTTTGACCAGCAGAGTTGGACTTTGTCTCTTAGACTGAACCTAAGGTAGAGCCTTGGGGGAGGGTAGAGTCCGTTTGATTTCTTATGTTTCTTAACTCCACATCTTTTCTTCTATGATTAGTATCTCTTTACCGCTGGTAGTAACCTCACAGTATGCCACACACTCTGAAAGGCCGTGGTTTTGTAGCTGAAATCAGGGCAGACAGGGCCCTTCTCTTAGAACTTGTGTTTTGATGGGAGGATTGATAATTGGTCTGTAAACCAAAGCTGAGGCTTTGAGAATGCCTCAGGACGTAAGCAGAAGGGTGCCGAGAGTGGAGAAGCAGAGGATCCACCTTAAGAAGGGTGGCCGGCACAATCCCCTTCCCAGGATGTGCACTCAGAACACGAGGCAGCTGTGCAGTTAGAAGAGGCATTCATTTCAGGCCAAGAAACGGGAAGTGCAAAGTCTAAGAAGTAAGAAGGAGGAGAGTGTGGCTGGACTGGGAGAGAGGGGTGATGCAAGGTGAGAGCAGGCATGGGCGGAGTGAGGCGTACGAGGCTCGTAGGTGTGATCCGGGTGTGACCGAGGGGAGTGAGGATTTGAGCATGGGGGCAACTTACTGACCACCAGCTCCTGGGTGGAGAATGGGTTAGCAGGGCAAGGGCAAAGGCAGGGAGACAGCTCTGAGGACGCTGTCACTGAAGAGGCATCGAGAGAGCTTGGTGGTTGGTTGAAGGTGATGGAGCTGGAGGTCAGGCACAGCAAAGTATCAGTGAGGCTGGAAGCCTTTATATGAAAGGTGATGGTATTACAACAGTGGCAGCTACTGAGATGGGAACAAGCTGGAAAACCTAGGCTCTGATGGAGGAAGTTTTAGATGCTGCTACATCCGGGTAGCCATGACACCCTGGTGGTCGTAGATAGAAGTCCAGCCCTGGAGAAATGTTCAGACTGGGGTTTGTTTTTATACTGTAGGTATTAAAGCGCCACCAGCAGGAACTGGCAGTGGTCAGGTACACCGTGTTTCCTGTCCAGATGAATCAGGCTCTGACTGTGGCTGACTTCCCTACGGCAGCTGCTCTTTCCCTGGAGGAATCTCCTGATAACCTGTGGGGTCACTTACCTCAGTGTTGCCCAGTAGACCTGGGCTCTCGGCTGAGCACTTCATTTCGTTGTGGTGCTCCAGTTGAGCCTTCCGTTTTCAGGGAGCTGCCTGCCAATGCTGAATTAAACGCCAGTGGAAAACAGTGTGACAGTGAATCACTTTGCATTTGTGTGTGCAGCACATTCTTTCCTAGCTCCTCGTTTAGCTGTCCTGTTCGTGTAAACCTCAGGAAGAGGGACTTCCTGTTATGAAATGATCTAGAGAGCTAGGCGCCCTCCTTTTTGGGTGTGTGGAGGCAGCGATGTGTCTAGTGCCCACTTAGAGTTGAACTGCTCACCCTCACGGACGCACTGGCACTTCAGCAACTGACAGAACCACACAGCGGCCCCTGCCTTCTGAAGCCCAGTTAACACAGTGGACCCCAACTCTCCTGCTGGGAGCAAGCGTTATCCAAATAGCCCTCAGATCAGTGTGTATGAAGTCTGATAAGTGCTAGTTGGGAAACTGGGAGCCAGGGCCTGTGACAGAATCAGGGAGGGAATCTCACTCTGTGGTTGGGC